TGCGATCACCCCGTTGACCTCTCTCTCTCTCTCTCCCTCTCTCATGTGTGTACACACTCTCTCTCTCGAATAGACATAAAATAAAAACAAGCTCAAATGTGAAAGAATGCAGTATTCTGTACTTACAGTGTTTAAGCTGAGATCTGAAGGCTGAGATTTAGAATGGTAGCCATGGGGAGCTGTTCCTAACTAGGGAACAAGAATTGTGAAGGCCTCAGGGAAGGGCAGGGTAGGTGGGGGTCTCGGAACTGAGAAGGTCTAGTGGCAAGATTGCAGGAAGAGATGAATCTCAACAGCTCAGATGGCACCTAGCCTTACTGACCAGGCTAGGAATTCTGGGGTCTGCTTGAAGGACAGTGGGAAGCCCCTGAAGGATTTTAGCAGGAAGTGGCACCCTCATATCTGCATAATCAATAGTCTGTAGAGGTTTATCCCCCACTTCCCACTGTTTTCCTTTATTCATGGTAGAACATGTGTATACAGGAACCAGCAGTTAGCGTGATGGCTGTGCCGCTGAACTCCCAGACCTGGTGGCTTAAAGTCATGCCAGGCACATGTGCATGCGTGCCCAAGATCCCGAGAGGACAATGGAGGAGAAGGGATTGTGGCGTGGCCATCCCCCCTAGGGGATGATTTCTCACTTTCTCTATTTCTCTCTGTCTTTCTGGCGAGTGCACGCGCTCTACAGCAAAAACCTCTCCATAAAAAAGAGAAAGAAAGAACATGTGCATTCACATGTGAGGATGAAAAAGAGAGAAGGGAGAGACATGAGCACACTCCCCAGAGTCTGGTCATACTATGAGCCTCTTCTTCCGGTCCTCTAGGCTGTGAGATCTTGGACACTCGTGTATGTCTGGAATGTTTTGGACTAATTAGGTCAGAGATATGAATCTTGGTCACCACGAGGGACCTAGCTTCTCTCGAGCAGTGCTTTATCGCTGCACCCTGAAGACAGCCCTTTTTTAAAAAAAGTATTTTATTCATGATAGAACATGCATGCACATGAGAGAAAGAGAGAGACATGCCCTCATTGGGGTCCTGTCACACTGTAACCCCACTTTCCCTAGTCCTCCAGCTTGTTAGGATATTAGGCACATGCACACATGTTCAGTGTGTTTTCAGGAACCTTATTTTATTTTTTGGTTTATGCCAGAGGGAGTGTGCAATCACCAGAGAGACAGAGAGAGAGGGAAAGTGAGAAATCATCCCCTGGGCGGGATGGCCATGCTACAATTCCTTCTTCATTCTCCTCCTGGGACCTTGGGCATGCATGCACACCAGCCCAGAGTGACTTTTTTAAGCCACCTGATTCAGTACTCAAGGTCAATTGACCATATAAGAATCCAGTGCCTTAACCACCATGCCACCTGCAGACCCCAAACTGTACTTAAAAAAGAAAAAGTCAGTAGACAAGTTTTGCTCAAAGACCTCAGGGAACTTTTCTCCCTACATGACACATTGCATATAGCAGGTAGACATCAATAGCAAAGAGTTGTTACCTGTGTGTTTTGGCATAAAGGAATGCTAGGCCCCGAAACATACTAATATACTAATAGGTTTTTCATCCTCCATTTACTAATTAAAACATTGTCCCAGCATGTACCACTTCTCACCCATTTCTGTAAAAAAAAAAAGAAAAGAAAAGGCAGTTTGACTTTATTTATTTATTTATTTTTTTGAGAGGTTTTTGCTATAGGGCACATGCATTTGCCAGAAAGACAGAGAGAAACAGAGACAGAAAGCAAGAAGTCACACCTCCAGGGGGGGATGGCTATGCCACAATCCCTTCTCCTCCATTCTTCTGTCTCTATCTGGGGCACACATGCACACGCACCCGGCATGAGTTTAAGCCGCCGGGTCCAGGATTCAAACTGCGGTCGACTACATGGGAGTCCAGCGACGTAGCCATTATGCCATCTGCTGGTCCTGGCAGTTTGACTTTTTATTCCTAGAATTATTAGGTTGCCAGGAAAGTCATGATGTACTTTTCCATGTTTTTCTATGCAAAATGACTTTCCCAATAACTCAATATATGACAGCAGGAAATGGTCTTACGTTTTAGTCTCAGCTTACAACCTTGAAGTGGAGACCCACATGTACTCTGTGAGCCCACTAGACTGTTAGATGTCACAGATGTTGGTTTCAGGTTAAGTCAAAGATGCTTCAGTCCACACTCTGCCCAGAGCAGTGTTTCTACCTCAGATCTGGCCTTTGTTCTCAACTGGCTTCTTCTGGCCCTTCCAGGGATGCTAAAGCCGCAGTAGTGACGGGCCTGGAACTGAAGGACATGAACCCAGAGCAACTGGACGAGCTTTTAACCAACTACTCAGAGATTGTCTTTGCCCGGACCTCCCCCCAGCAGAAGCTGATCATCGTGGAGGGCTGTCAGAGGCAGGTGGGTACATGGCAGTGCCCAGAGGACTAACCAGGGCCGTCACATCCAGGGGAATTATGGAGAAGGGCAGATCTCAGCTCAGGCTGTCATGCCTTTTAAACCTCTCAAGAGTTCTTTATCCAACCTCCTCAGCTGACTCCTCCCTCCTCTGAGATGGGCTGAGCCCAGTCCTCCTTTGAGACTCACCTATGGCCACGTGCTCCCTAAAGGGTTTACACCAGCCCACTGCATTTTATCATGATAGTCAGGGGCCTCTGCCAGAGAAGCATTTGCCACTGGTAGGTGTGGGTATACTAAGGTTTAAACATGTGTGGAGATATGGAAAAAGATGTGAGGACAAAATATCTAAAACACCTCCACGTACTTGGTGCACAGTTTGTTTTTGTTTTTGTTTTTGTTTTTAACATTTGGACTTACCTTGTTTGGAGCTCCCCGTTCAGCTCTAATGATCTTCACAGCCTTGAGACACAGGGAGGCTGTGTGGTTCTTGCCCAATGAATGGCCCCTTGCACCCGCTCAGTCCCATGTTCTCTCTGGGTCCCCACAGGATGCAGTTGTGGCTGTGACAGGGGATGGAGTTAATGACTCCCCAGCTCTGAAGAAGGCAGACATTGGAATTGCCATGGGAATAGCAGGTTCGGATGCAGCCAAAAATGCAGCTGACATGGTCTTGCTGGATGACAACTTTGCATCGATAGTCACAGGGGTGGAGGAAGGTGAGTCAGGTCCCAGGTGGTCTTGAGGGCCAGGATTTCCAAGGGGGAAGGAAGCAAATCCTATAAGCAGAACCTTCTCTGCCTAGGCCGCCTGATCTTTGACAACCTAAAGAAGACAATTGCTTACACCCTGACCAAGAACATTGCCGAGCTTTGTCCTTTCCTGATCTACATCATCGCTGGGGTCCCCTTGCCCATTGGCGCCATTACCATCTTGTTCATCGACTTGGGCACGGACATAGTAAGTGTACAAAAGGGGTCAAGGTCAAGTACCCACCCAGGGCATGCAAAGTTCAGTCAGTATTTCTCACACTTTGGTGGGATGAGGGCTTAGTTCGGAAATTCTTTTTGTTTTCTTTTAAAGTTTATTAAGTTATTTCTTCTATGAGAGAAAGAGAGCCAAAGAGAGAGAGAAGGCATCCAGAACAGGTCTTCATACCATGATCCACCCCCAGCCTCAGACAGCCAGGACCACAGGCATACATGCCCAACATTCACAGAGAGACTTCAGGATGTGAACCTGAGACTCCCATGTGGCCTCAGCATTGTAAACCATGGCATTAACACTCTGCCTTCACAGCTGGTGGAGGCCCTAATTCTGCATTTCTAACATGCTTCCCAGTGACCAAATTCTGCCAGTCTACATACCACACTTAAGGCAAAGGACTAGAGAAATCTGTGAAATGTTTGGAAATTAGAACCACTCCACTCCATATAGAACTTTTCAAGATTTCATCTTCCAAGAAAAAATACACCATTGGCAGTTTCAGTCTATATGACTCTCTTTTCTTTGGGGAAGACATGCAGCTATCACCCAAATATTTATGTGTTGCTTGGGAGCCCAGTGGCTAAAGTAATAACCCCACAGCCACTCCTTGTTAAGAATCTGTGCTCTGGAACCTCCTCACTTAAACACAATAAAAGGTAGCAGTTATTAAGACTTTATAAAGCCTTAACCTACAGTCAACATCACCTAACCTTGTCTTCTAGTATGTATCTTTTCCCTTTTTTTGGGGGGGGTTACTATATGCCATGTGCTCTCTTTAGAGAGAGACATCGGGGGGAGAAATCACCCCTTTGGGAGGTGGCCACACTGCAATCCCTTCTCCTCCATTCTTTTGGCCATAGGGCGGGTGCCACCACGCCCTCTCCTCCATTCTTTTGGGATTTGGGGCATGCATGCACATGCACCCAGCATGATTTTTAAGCCACTGGGTCTGAGACTCGAACCACGTTCAATTGGCCATGTGGAATCCAGCACCTTAACTACCATGACACCTGCTGGCCCATATGTATCCATTTTTAAAATTTCCTTTATTTCTAGGAGTGAGAGAGACAGAATGACAGCACTCCCAGAGTGACAGCACTTATTCATGATAGAATACGTGCACGTTTATGTGAGAGTAAGAGGGAGAGAGATGAGCACCCTCCATGGGGTCCGGCCATGTCACAATCCCATTCCTCAAGTTCTCTAGCCCATTGGATCCTGAGCACTCATGCACATGACCAGGCCAGGTGTTCAAACTGTGGTCACCCTGTGGAGTCCAGCTTCTCTTGAGCCATGCATGATCACTACACCACACACCCAGCCCCCAGCAGGGTTTTAATGTCACAGTCCACCCCTAGTCTCAGCTGCCCTGGATCATGGGCAAGTTTGAGCCCTGAGTACTTAGGGAGGTGTCCAGACACAAACCTGGAATCTTCCCATGTGGACCAAACTCCCAGAGCATTGAAATACCACTGCCAATGTTTGGCCCCCTAGTATATATCCATTTAAAGAAAGCTCTGTGAGGGTTAGCCAGTGTTTTGGTGGTTAAAGTGGCAGGATCCCACATGACTGATTGTGTGGTTAGAGTCCTGGACCTGATTGTGTAGTACCCAAAATTCCAAGAGGAGAATGGAGGAGAAGGGATTGCAGCGTGGCCATCCCCCCTCACTTTATCTCCCATTCTCTCTAGTGAGCACACATGTGTTCTATAGCAAAAAAAAAGGAAAGAAAAGAGAAGAGAAAAGAAAGCTCCATGAAAGTTACCCACGTAGCTCTAGCTTATGTGGGCAAAGGGGAAAAGCAACAGAGAGCAAGCTGAATTCTTAGCAGGAAAAGGGCCCTGAAAATTGCCTCCTTCCCTCTCTTATTTTCCACAACACCCAACAACTAATCCCTGCATTTCAAGGAGACTAGAGTTGTCTTTAGCTTTGAGGAGAATCGAAGTTCCCGTAATTGATAGATCATTTTCTAAGCCCTTTACACGTTCTCATTTCTTTTTTTCTTTTTTCTTTTTTTTTTTTTTTTTTAGGGGTTTTTACTTATGGGGGCGTCGCCAGACAGACAGAGAGAGACGTAAAGACAGAAAGCGAGAAATCACCCCCCAAGGGGGATGGTCACACCGCAATCCCTTCTCCTCCATTCTCCTCTCGGGATCTTGGGCACGCACGCACACACGCCCGGCGTGAGTTCCAAGCCACCGGGTGCGGGACGCGAACCGCGGTCGACTAGGTGGGAATCCAGCAACATAGCCATTACGCTAACTGCTGGTTCCCACACGTTCTCATTTCTCCACTGCCGCTACTATGGCTCTCCAAGTGTAGTCCAGGTATTTCTTGGGAACACGTTAGAAATACAAATTCTCTGACTCTAGTCCAACTCTCCTGAATCAAGGAGTCTTAGCTGGGAGTTAGCAATCTGTGTTTTAACAGACCCTCCAGGTAGGAGTACCTGTGAGAGAATGGCTGTCCTACACATTTCAAGGGAAAGCATGGTTTGAGGAATCCTCCCTGGATGGGAAAAGTGGTCTTTAATGAGCATTGTTTGGAACTGCTGCATGGCACATTGATGGTGATCAAAAGCAGATAGATTCTGAAAGTCTGATGTTCCTGAAGTCTACACAGTCAATGTTGCCTCAGCCCTGGGTGAACCAATCTCACATCCCCCACCCCCATCTTCTAGCAGTCCCCCAGCCACCCAAGCAACCCCTGCCATTATCATCATTTGTGAGTAGAGCAGGGCATTCCAGGCTGAAGCTTCATGGCCCTCTTCCTCCTCTAGATCCCTTCCATTGCCTTGGCATATGAGAAAGCTGAAAGCGACATCATGAGCAGGAAGCCTCGCCACAAGAAGAGAGACAGACTGGTGAACCTGCCGCTTGCTGTGTACTCTTACGTGCACATTGGTACGATGAGGGTGTCACACAAGGTCCTGTCCCATAGAATACAGTTGAGTCACAGACACAGTCAGAAAGTGTTTTTCCTTTTGGGGGGTGGCACTGGGACAAGAGGAGCGATTGGGAGGAGACTGAGGATGAAGCCTAATGTTGTATCCTTTCTTCTGCTTTCAGGCCTCATGCAATCCCTGGGAGCTTTCGTGGCGTATTTCACCGTCTATGCACAGCAGGGCTTCCTACCCGGCAGAGTTATTAACCTGCGAGTAGAGTGGGAAAAGAGTTACGTGAATGACTTGGAAGACAGCTATGGGCAGGAGTGGGTGAGTAACCAGGACTTGGGGCCCCAGTCACATTGCACTGCCTAGACTGAACCTCCATTTACTTTCCTGGAAGCCTTAATGAGAAAAAGGCAGTATTTCTCAGTAAATCGGGCTTGGGGTTTCTTGGTGACACTAGTTTGACCTCTGCTAAAGATTCAGCCTCATCTCTTGAGCTAGACCCAAAGAGGTTATTTTTTCTTTCTTTTTTATTTCTTTAAATTTGCTATAGAGGGTGTATGTGCTCACCGGAGTGACAAGAAAGAGACAGAGAGGAAAAGTGAGAAAACTGCCCTGCAAGTGGGGTCGTGGTGGCCATGCTGCAATCTCTTCTCCTCCATTCTCCTCTGAGGATTTATGGCACATGTGCATATGTGCCTGGTGTTTTTCAAACCACTGGGTCCAAGACTTGAACCACACAGTCAGCCTTGTGAGATTCAGCCCATGCCACCTGCAGGCCCCAAGAGGTTGTTTTTATTACATTAGCCTTGCTGTAGGTGTGGAAGAATAGCCAGTCCAACGCTGCCTACCATTGGGCAAGTAAGTTAGCAACTTTCCCCATTCACCTGGCTCAAGGAAAAGAATATTTCTTTTTTAAAAACAAGTAATCTGCTCTCAATCTGGGTGAGGTGGAGAAAGAGAGTAACGCTCAACAGAACTGCACTGAAATCTCCCTGAAGTTCTTCTCTGGCCTCATAGTTACCTCCCCTCTGCCTATTGACAGACGAGTTCCCAGAGGACGTACCTTGAGTGGACAGGCTACACGTCCTTCTTTGTTGCCATCATGGTCCAGCAGATAGCAGATCTGATCATCAGGAAAACCCGGAAGAATTCCATCTTCCAGCAGGGTCTCTTCAGGTACTGGATATGTCTGTCGTGGTTCAGCCCTGGACCTGCTGTGCCAGGGTGACAAGAGTCTGTCCATCATAGGCCATAACTCTAGTCCCTACTGTAACCTGCAAGGCATTATTGACCCCATTTGCTGGGTGTGTGTTTATGGAGACACAGGAATCCAGAATCTGTTTGTTTTTGTATGTTTTGCAGAAATAAATTCATCTGGGTAGGGATCGCCTCACAGATCATCATTGCCCTGATCCTCTCCTATGGCCTTGGGAGTGTCACGGCCCTGAATTTCACCATGCTTAGGTGAGTTCACCTTCGGCGGATTGCAGAAAGAATCAGCCACTGTTCTGAGTTGTCACAGCCTAAATAAACACCAGGATTCATGGGGATTCTTCCCCACACGATTTTGTGCTCGCTGAGCCCAGGGCTTTCTGACCTCCCAGTTTCCTAGAAAAGCAAGTTTCCAGACCTTGCCAACCCATCTACACCCTCAACTAGCAGGTTGCTTTCAAGGCAGATGTTTCTTCTAGCAGTTATAGTCTAGGTTAAAGCAGAAGCTTCCCAGTTTTCTGTTTCATTTAAGTTTATTTATTTATTTATTCCATGTGTAAGAGGGAGCGGGGGGAGCACCCTCAACAGAGTCTTCACACTGTGATTCACCCTCAGTCTCATCTGGACCAGCTCACTGAAGTGCATATGCACCAGGGATGTATGCGGCAGGCCCTGTACCCAGGACGTTTCCTATGTGTGTCCACTTCCATCACCACTGCACCACCCTCTGGCTCCCAAAACTTCCCATTTCTATGTTGTGTGACTCCATAGATTGGTTGTTATTTCCAGTCAGGCAGGGAAGATGAGCAGGGAGACCCCTGCCCGCTGGCCAGGACAGGGCTATCTCTTTGAACCAGTCACGATGCACCTCCCTCCCTTTCTTCCAGGCCTCAGTATTGGTTTGTGGCTGCCCCACATGCCATCTTGATTTGGGTGTATGACGAGATGCGGAAACTCTTCATCAGACTCTACCCTGGAAGTGAGTAGTCACGTGTCTTTTGAGTCTCTGTTTACCTACTTCAATGGCCTCTCTATTCCTAACTTGCTGCTTTCTACCATTACAGGCTGGTGGGACAAGACCATGTATTATTAAGACCACTTCACTTCCCACATCTTCCAGCAGCACGTTGAGGGTGTTCATCTTCCGGCTGCTTGCTCAGAGGGCTCTGTGCAGCTCGGACATCATCAAAACCCGTACAACAGAAAACTCGGAAAATTGTACTAAAGATACACATGTGTTTTATACTTTAAAGCTGTTTCTGTATGAGTTTCACCTCTATCTCGTTTTAAAATGTGCAAATTTCAAGATAATGGTTTAGAAAAAAAATGTGTTTATATGTATATAAAAGTCATTGATGTTAAATAGTCTTGTGTAACCTGAGCGTCTGCTGGGGGTCTGCCTTAAACTCTAGATAGGATTGCTAAGACCTTCACTCCATACCCTATTAAAGTCCCAAAGACCTCCCTGAGATTTCCATGAATCTACCTAGAATATATTTTCATGGTCACCTCGGTCAAAAAAGTTTGCAAGAGATTGAAGTGATGGCAGGCTTGTATCATAGCAGTACGAATTCAGCTTTGACTCAGAGACATCCACATGAAGGACCTCACCACCTTGTCATGACAGTCCTCCGGGCTGTGTCACTGTCTCCCTCCTCCTATCACCTCCATACCTCTTTCCTATCCCCTCCACATCACCCTTCATCCCATCCCTACCACCAGCTCCTCCAAAACTGGACCCCAAGTTCATTTTGCATATCCTTAATTCAAAATGCTCAACTCATCCAGAGATGGTCATTCGCGATTCAACCTCAGTAGACAGCCCTTATGGTTTAAATAGTAATATTTATTTCTTGTATGACAGTTGCCAAGTGCTCTCCAGCAATAACATTATGTCAACCATGTTTGTTTCATGTATTAAACTATGTTTATACATGTGACAGTGATGTTAATGTTGGCAGGCCCAAAGAGGCCTCATTTTTAAATAAAAATATTTCATAAAATCAGGTCTAATTGTGGTGTTCTGATTAATTCAGGATTTCCTCGATTTTCTAGAATGTACAAAAAATGAGACGCAATTTTCTTTTTCTCTTCTCCGGTCATTGTACTTATCAGGTCTGGAAATGCAGAATTTTCCTTTTGAACTCTTCCCTCACAGCCTGTGCCTCCCACGGAAGGATCCATCTCTTGGTGGCAGCCCTCTAAGAAGGGCTGATTTTCACAGCTTTTCCATCAACTACACACTTGGTACTGACTTGATAGAACCTGAAAATTACATTTGGTTTGACTTTCTCCATTCAGTGGCCTCCCTCACCCCCTCCCTGCCATTGCAACCGTTTCCACCAGGGCATCTGCTTACAGCTCCAGATTGACATCTTTGAGACAGGAAAAAAGAGACTTAGAGCCACTGGGTTCTCAGGGGGTCAGAGACAGGAGCTTCATTGTATCTTTAAGTAAATGATTTGCAATAACCAGTGGGTATTGCATCTATTTAAGCCATCATAGCGCTGCTGCCCTCACAGTTCTTAATCGCTATGCCCAGCTGTAATGATCACAGTTCTAATCTATCAGTAGTTCTAGTGAACTGGAAACCCTTTCCAGAGTAGCTCGAGCAGTGCGGTAATAGCCTTTCCATTCCAGTCCTGACAAGGTGGCTAACGCTTTCTAGATTTCAGTTAAGAATAGTCTTTCCTCTTTTTCTTGCCAGACTGCTGGAGGGCTCTTGGCTGTGACCCATGGTGGCTCTTGGTTCTGCTAGAGCCAGCAGGGCAAGGCCATTAATAAAACACAAAGTTGTAAGATTTCACTTGGATTAGACTGAGTTTGAAAGGATTTAAGTTTGAAGTGGAAGACTCTTCGTAGCAAGAACTGTGTCTAAAATAACTTTCACTTTTGTACATACTCACTCTTGCAAAAGGTTGGCACTCAAATATTTGCAAAATGAACAAAGAACATTAAAGGAATTCCAGAAATGAAACTGGCTAATAAAGTAGCTTGATTAAGTTGTAGACAGAAAAAGGCAATAAAATCTATCCAAGAGGACTTTTTTTTTTTTTGGAAAAAAATAACAGCTAATTTAAATTAAGTGGCATGGCGGAGTATGTTAGACATAAAGATGAGAATGAATTTATAGTCTTTACTTTTTAAAATAATCTCTTCTGATAATAAAAGTATAGCTCACTTAAGAAAATTTTACCAGCTAGTGGCATGATGGTCAGGGCAACTAGATTTTACATGGTCAACTGTGTGGGTCAAGTCCTGGACTCAATGGCTTGAAAAACATACCATGTGTATGTGGGTGCCCAAAGTCTTGAGAAGGGATTATAGTGTGGTTATCCTCCCTGAGGGGTGCTTTCTTTCTCTCTCTCTCTCTCTCTCTCTGTTTCTCTCCAGTGAGTACATGTGCAAATTGAAAATCAAAAGAAATAAAACTTTGGAATAAACAAAGAGTAAAAAGAAAAAAATCTCCCCAAATCTCAGTACCTTGTGTTATACATAAATGAGTCATTATTTCTTTGTTTTTTTATGCATATATTTATTTTTTTATTATTTAATTTTATTTTATTTATTCATTCATTTATTTTAATTTGACCAGAAAGAGATACACAGAGAGAGCTAGAGAGGGAAAGTGGGAAAGGAAGACACCAGGTCTGGGACTCGAACCATGGTTGGCCATGTAAGAGAGTCCAGTGCCTTAACCACCATACCAGTGAAATATAAAGTTGTCTTTTTCCTTTATTTATTCTGTGAGTAAAGGAATTTAATAGTACTCCTAACAAGGTCCTGATGCCACGTTCCACCCCCAGCTTCAGCCAGCTCCAGATCACAGGCATACTTGTGCCTAGCATATTTAGGGAGATCTCCGGATATGAGTTGGCAACCTTCCCACGTAAGACTGCCTCACAGAACATCGTGTTTTACTGCTGACATCATCATCTGGTCACCAATACAATGTTTTCTATTCTGCCTTTTAACAGTGAAGGTATTATGTTAATAAGTTTACAACATTCCATATTGAGTGCTTTAACTACATCCCCACTGTTGGCTAGTTCATTTATATCCTACTGTTTGTCTTTCTTTAAAAAGCTACACCTTGGGACCAGCAGTTGGCATAATGACTGTGTCGCTGGACTCCCATGTATTCAACCGTGGTTCAAGTCCCGGACCCAGTAGCTTAAACTCACACCAGGCGCGTGTGCATGTGTGCCCAAGACCCGAAGAGGAGAATGGAGGAAAAAGGATTGCGGTGTGTCCATCCCCCCTGGAGGGTGATATCTTGCTTAGTGTAATGGCTATGTCGCTGGACTTCCATGTAGTCGACCACGGTTCGCATCCCAGAACCGGTGGCTTAAAACTCATGCCAGGCGCGTGTGCATGCATGCCCAAGATCCCGAGAGGAGAATGGAGGAGAAGGGATTGCAGTGTGACCATCCCCCCTGGGGGGTGTTGCAATAACCAGTGGGTATTGCATCTATTTAAGCCATCATAGCGCTGCTGCCCTCACAGTTCTTAATCGCTATGCCCAGCTGTAATGATCACAGTTCTAATCTATCAGTAGTTCTAGTGAACTGGAAACCCTTTCCAGAGTAGCTCGAGCAGTGCGGTAATAGCCTTTCCATTCCAGTCCTGACAAGGTGGCTAACGCTTTCTAGATTTCAGTTAAGAATAGTCTTTCCTCTTTTTCTTGCCAGACTGCTGGAGGGCTCTTGGCTGTGACCCATGGTGGCTCTTGGTTCTGCTAGAGCCAGCAGGGCAAGGCCATTAATAAAACACAAAGTTGTAAGATTTCACTTGGATTAGACTGAGTTTGAAAGGATTTAAGTTTGAAGTGGAAGACTCTTCGTAGCAAGAACTGTGTCTAAAATAACTTTCACTTTTGTACATACTCACTCTTGCAAAAGGTTGGCACTCAAATATTTGCAAAATGAACAAAGAACATTAAAGGAATTCCAGAAATGAAACTGGCTAATAAAGTAGCTTGATTAAGTTGTAGACAGAAAAAGGCAATAAAATCTATCCAAGAGGACTTTTTTTTTTTTTTGGAAAAAAATAACAGCTAATTTAAATTAAGTGGCATGGCGGAGTATGTTAGACATAAAGATGAGAATGAATTTATAGTCTTTACTTTTTAAAATAATCTCTTCTGATAATAAAAGTATAGCTCACTTAAGAAAATTTTACCAGCTAGTGGCATGATGGTCAGGGCAACTAGATTTTACATGGTCAACTGTGTGGGTCAAGTCCTGGACTCAATGGCTTGAAAAACATACCATGTGTATGTGGGTGCCCAAAGTCTTGAGAAGGGATTATAGTGTGGTTATCCTCCCTGAGGGGTGCTTTCTTTCTCTCTCTCTCTCTCTCTCTCTGTTTCTCTCCAGTGAGTACATGTGCAAATTGAAAATCAAAAGAAATAAAACTTTGGAATAAACAAAGAGTAAAAAGAAAAAAATCTCCCCAAATCTCAGTACCTTGTGTTATACATAAATGAGTCATTATTTCTTTGTTTTTTTATGCATATATTTATTTTTTTATTATTTAATTTTATTTTATTTATTCATTCATTTATTTTAATTTGACCAGAAAGAGATACACAGAGAGAGCTAGAGAGGGAAAGTGGGAAAGGAAGACACCAGGTCTGGGACTCGAACCATGGTTGGCCATGTAAGAGAGTCCAGTGCCTTAACCACCATACCAGTGAAATATAAAGTTGTCTTTTTCCTTTATTTATTCTGTGAGTAAAGGAATTTAATAGTACTCCTAACAAGGTCCTGATGCCACGTTCCACCCCCAGCTTCAGCCAGCTCCAGATCACAGGCATACTTGTGCCTAGCATATTTAGGGAGATCTCCGGATATGAGTTGGCAACCTTCCCACGTAAGACTGCCTCACAGAACATCGTGTTTTACTGCTGACATCATCATCTGGTCACCAATACAATGTTTTCTATTCTGCCTTTTAACAGTGAAGGTATTATGTTAATAAGTTTACAACATTCCATATTGAGTGCTTTAACTACATCCCCACTGTTGGCTAGTTCATTTATATCCTACTGTTTGTCTTTCTTTAAAAAGCTACACCTTGGGACCAGCAGTTGGCATAATGACTGTGTCGCTGGACTCCCATGTATTCAACCGTGGTTCAAGTCCCGGACCCAGTAGCTTAAACTCACACCAGGCGCGTGTGCATGTGTGCCCAAGACCCGAAGAGGAGAATGGAGGAAAAAGGATTGCGGTGTGTCCATCCCCCCTGGAGGGTGATATCTTGCTTAGTGTAATGGCTATGTCGCTGGACTGCCATGTAGTCGACCACGGTTCGCATCCCAGAACCGGTGGCTTAAAACTCATGCCAGGCGCGTGGGCATGCAGGCCCAAGATCCCGAGAGGAGAATGGAGGAGAAGGGATTGCAGTGTGACCATCCCCCCTGGGGGGGGATTTCTTGCTTTCTGTCTCTCTGTCTCTCTCTGTCTGGCGAGCGCACGTGCCCTCTAGCAAAAAGAAAAAACTCTCCAAAAAAAAAAAATCCTTTAAAAAAAAAAAAAAAACTGCATCTTGTCCTTAAATATGTATACCACATCTCTGATTTTTTTTACTTTTTTTTTAAGAGATATTTTTGCTATAGGACACATGAGATTCCTGGAGAGTCAGAGAGAGGCAGAGAGACAGAAAACAAGAAATCACCCCCCAGGGGGGATGGCCAGGCCACAATCCCTACTCCATTCTCCTCTGTGGATTTTGGGCACGCATGTACACATGCATTGCATGAGTTTTAAGTCATCAGGTCTGGGACTCAAACCGTCCGTTGACTATGTGGGAGTCCAGCAATATAACCATTAAGCCATCTGCTGGTCCCAATCTCTGATTATTTTAAAACAGATTCCTCAAAATAAAATTATAGGATGAAGAGCATTTTAAAGGCTCTGAATACATATGACCAAATTTATCTTCAGATAAACTATGCCAATTTACATTACCATCAACAAAAATAGAGACTAGCTTGCCTG